ATAAAGAATGAAATGAAAAATGATGTTTACTAGTAAAACTCTACATTTGAAAAAACTCTTTTGTTTAAATTGGTAAAATCAAAAGTTTAAATGAAGAGTAAAAGTTTTTTATTATTTTGTTGTTTGTCTTCTGTATTTTTATAACTTTGTTTATCTTTGAGCTTTATATTAGTAAAATAGATATTATTAATTTGGAATAAAAATTGAACAATAGCATTTATTATCTTGAAAGTTGCGTAATGAAATATGTATCAGTGGTTTATATTAGTTGATTTTTCTAATAAGCCATTTGTTTGCTTTAATCGCAATAAATGCTAATTTGAAAAATTTCTAAAAATTATTAAAAAATACGTTTTTATTTAATTTCTAAAAATTATTAAAATACGTTTTTTATTCAAAAAGTAAAAATTTTTGGGGAATAGTATTTTTCTACGCCACTTTTTGAAAACTTTAAAACTTTTTGAATACTTTTTTATACTTTTTTAATTCAATTTTTACTAAATAATGCATAATTATATAGTTCAAACAGCTTCCCGATTCATCCAGCAATTAAATGAACCAGATTCGGCTTCGTGCAGCCCCGTGGTGATCACTGGTGCGTATATCCCCGAAAAATTATGTAAAAATAAACATATTTTATTCAAAAAAAATTAAAATTTTACGATTTTTTTGGTTAAATTTCTTAACATAGTAACTCAAATTTCACCTTAAGATGGCGGTTTTTTACTTTCCATGAGTAGCTACTCATGGATAGAAAAACCATTCAAAAAGTGGCGTAGAAAAAAACGATTGTCCAAAATTTTTAAATAGTGAAAAAAAACTTTTTCATAATATCGTATGAATTATAACTCATTCGTTTTTTCAATGTTATCTGAACGTTGAAAGCTTCGTTGACGGTCGTTCTTTTCGTTGACCTTAACGGGCTCAAAGTCGTTGATCGTTGTCAAAGAACGAGACGTTATAAAATTCAACGAGCTCAACGTCAAAGTTGGCCATCCATGATCTCGATGATTACTTTTTCACGGTACTATAATGGAGGCTCCTATATCGATTTATAAAAAAAATAATTTAAAAAAAGGTCAATATTGACCTTGTATCGTACTTCAGAAAAAAAAAGGTTCAAACATTTTTATATCGATTTATAAAAAATAATACTTTTTTTGCACTTTTAAAGCTAGCTACTCATGCTTTTTCAATTATTTTTTCCAGATAAAAATGTTTAAAAGTATTATTTTTAATAAATCGATATAGGTCTTTTTTTTTTTTTTTTTTTTTTTTTTTTTTTTTTGGTCATTAATATTACAATTCCTTATAGAGTCACATTTGCCAGTAAATACTGTTTTTCCAACTGCATAAATTTGTCTTCTATCAGAATTTCAAGCAGTATCACATCATTTGTAAAAATGAAGTTTCAATGATTGCAGTAGTTTGACATCAATCATAGTTCCCAAAAGTGTCACTTCAATTGAAGAATGCTTCCTCAATTGGGCAAAATTGGCTTCAATTACGATTCCAATTTGTGTCACATCAATTGGAGATACTTTCTTTTTTAATTGCTTCAGTTCAACCTTAATTAACATTCCAGACAGTGCCACAAAAATTGGTGATGGATTCTTTTTTAGTTGCCGAAAAGAGGCTTCAATTATCAGGGTCCAAATAGTCATCTCATTCACAAAAAGACCTAAATTAATATGCAATAAAAGTTATAAATAGTGAAAATTACAAATCAAAATTTATCTTACATTGAACTCATTTTTTCCACCTTGATTATTTTTTTCCACCTTGATTATTTTTTCCCACCTTGATTGTTTTTTTCCACTTTGAAAATTGACATTTTTTTTTCCACTTTGAAATAAAATTTTCAAAATTTTATTGATATCATTATTGTTATTACAAATGGAAAAATACTATAGTGATGAAAAAGAATTTAATGAAATATTGCTTTCATTTCTTGATGGTGATGATGATTCAATGGAAGAAACAGATTTTTTTGATTATTTAAAGACGAAGAAATTAGATGATAATGATACTGAAATGAATAAATTTATTATTTTGTTATCTAATATAAGCAAGAACCATCATCGTTCACCTTTTTTCATACGCCGTATTGTTCAAATACTTTGTCAATATCAGATAGCAATTGAGAAATGTTACACAAATTCAGAATTAGTAAGTTTTTTTGATCATAGCAATTTAATTTTCCTTTTTAAATATGCAGAGAAAATACAGAATAAAGATTTATACCGTAATTTAAAATACTTTATCACGAACAAAATCAAAAATTATTTGAATTCGGATTTAATTAATCAAAACAAAATAGATAAACTTTACGAATATCCCTACTATTTTTTTGGATTATTTCAAATGAAAAAAAAAGAATATCTACCTTATGATTATAATGATAAAAAAAAAGATTCAGATAATTCTGCTCAGAATCAAAAAATATCTGGCCTTCTAGATAAATTATTAAATAGTTTTGATTCCAACCAAGATGTAGGCGAAAATGATTTGCCAATATGTAAAATAATTCGTGAAGATTTAATTGATGATTTTGTAATTTATGTAAATCAACATAACATTTCACTTTCCATGAAAATAAAATGTTCAATAACTGAAACAAATTCATTTTTACTTGAACGTGAAAATTCGACAACATTAATCGAATATGCTGCATTTTTTGGATCAACTCAAATATTTCAATATTTGAGATTAAATAACGTTGAATTTTCACCACGATTATGGCTATATGCAATTCATGGCCGAAATGCAGACATTATTCATCTGATTGAAGAAACGGATTTCAAAACTTGTGATGAAACATTCAAATTAATGTTAAAAGAAGCCATTTTGTGTTATCATAATGAAATCGCTTTTTATATAAAAGACAATTTATTGAGTGAAAAAGTAAATCAAGATGACATAGACATAATTGGAATTGAAAATAAAAATTATTCATTCTATCCCAATGAATTCAGCAACAGATCTAAAAAGTTATATGATTGCATAATTCAAGATAATAAAAATATGGCTCAATTTCTTTTAGATCAAAAATTTATTGGTTTGAATCAATTTGAAAATTGCGCTGTTATTGATAAATTGATTATTCCATTATTTATAAAACAAATTGATGATAAATCATTCCTAAATTGCAGTTCATTAACAGAAATTTCAATTCCTTTATCAATAACAATAATAGGAGCAAATGCATTTGATGGATGCAACAAATTGAAACAAGTAATCATTCCAGAATCAGTGACAATGATTAACTCAGGGGCTTTCAAATTCTGTTCTGCTTTAACTGAAATAAATATTCCATTTAGTGTCAAAAAAATAGGATCTCAAGCTTTTGCTAGTTGTTCAAGATTAAAAGAAATTATATTACCACCAGAAATTACAACAATTGCTGAAAGTACATTTGAAGAATGCTTTTCATTAAAAAAAATAAGTATTCCTAGTAAGGTTACATCAATTGAAAAAAAAGCTTTTTATTTTTGTATAGCATTGAGACAAATTGAGTTACCACAATCGCTTAATATTGTAAAAACAAAAGCTTTTTGCTTTTGTTCATCATTGGAAAAAATAATGTTTCCTTCTTCTGTTACAGTAATCGAACAAAATGTATTTGAGCGATGTTCTCACTTAAACAAAATTGAATTTGAGCATCCTTCTTCTATATCATCAATAAATCCTCATTTTTTAGAGGAATGCAACGAATTTGAATCATATGTTAAACAACCATATGGAGATTCTCTTACTTTTATACATATGGAATATACTTCATTAAAAGAGATATGCATTCCATCATCTGTAACATCAATTTTATCAGATGCATTTGAAAGATGTTTTAATTTATGTAAAATAACATTTGAATCTCCTTCAAACATTCATTCAATTGGCGATAATGCTTTTAATGAATGCATTAATTTGAAGCTAATAACAATCCCTTCTTCTGTAACTTCAATTGGTGAAAAAGCATTTCATAAATGCAAATATTTAAAGAAAATTGTTTTTGAAGAACCTTCTTCTCTAACTACATTAAGTGATGGCATTTTCATGCAATGCCTCAGATTGAAAAATATAACAATTCCACCATCAATAGAAACAATTGGTAAAAATGCTTTTGAACAATGTGTATCTTTAGTAAGTATATCATTTCCTTCTTCTGTGACAACAATCGGACCAGAAGCTTTTAAATGCTGCAAAAAATTAAAAGATATAAAAATATCTTCAAATATAAATGAAATCAATGTAAAAACATTCAGCGAGTGTTTGTCTTTAGAAAAAGTCGAAATTCCATCTACAATAACAAAAATAAATAACAACTCATTTTATAAATGCCTATCACTTGTTGATGTAACAATTCATTGTTCAAACACATACATTGATCCTGGGGCTTTCAGAATGTGCCGTAAAAAAAATATTGTTATATTGAATGATGAAGTTCAGGCTCAATAATTACATTTTTTTTTTTTTTTGAAAATTAATAAAAATATTCGATGAGAATTTGATATTTTTTATATTATATAAAAACTAGCCATTAAATTGGTTGTCATTTTAGGTTGAAACTCAAATATACAAAATTATTTCTGTTTTGATTTTCTAAATCTCACTAGACGCCAGTTAGGTTCTAGGCAGTGACAAATGGAGGTTTTAAAAATGCTCCATTTTATTGGTTAAAAAGGTGAAGTGAAGTAGAGACAAATGATTTTGCCTTTTGTTGAACTTTTTTATTTATATCCATTAGATTTATTTTTTCCAAAATGCTTCAATGAAATAATTGACAAGCTTTGTTCAGATTTTCATTGTTTTATAACACAATTATATCAACGAAGCTTTATAATTCCCTAGGAAGTTCGTATAACTGCCAAGCAATGAAAATAATTTTTTTTTTCACAATTTTAGCCTAAGATGATTTTAATGATCAAATACATTTTCACATAATGAAACTATAATTTGGCGATTAGTGGAAGATATATTTTCTAACCTGAAAGTTTTGTTATGTCTATGTGGCATAGTGATTATTGCGTTTAACTCCGTACTTTGAAAGGGCGCTGGTTCAAATCCACCAATGGGCGTTTTTTCCCCTCTCTTTTTTGTTTTACAGTCAAAATCTGATTAGTTGCATAATGTTATGACACATAAACTTAAGGCTTGCTGGGATCTGATTTTTAAATTAAAAATTTTTAATTATCTTCTATTTAAGTTTTTAGTTACATCTGTAATGAATTCAATGCTTGAATTTTTGAAATATATAAAATACTTATAAAAAAATACAAAATAATCTTTTTTTTAGCAAATTATTTTTTATTGAAAGTGAAATGCGAATATGAATCTATATATCAGATGATTTCTTTTATAATTTACATAATAACAATTGCTTTATCTCACTATTTTGTGTCTCAGTAGCTAATTCTAAGGCATCCTTTTTGCTTATCTCTCTTCCATCTGAATCATATTCAATTACTCCTTCGTTTAGATTCACTTTTGGTTGCTCTAATAAAAAATGAATCATTGCAATGTTTCCACTATTAATTGCAAAAGGCAATGATGGTTCCTCTTTTGTTTTTGACGATGAAAAATAGCTGAGGCATCCTCCTGATTCTTCTATTTTTGAAATTGATTTCATTTTGATATCAACATTTGGATTTGACAATAACAATTGCACAATTTCAATGTTTCCTTTCTCTATAGCTAAATGAAATAATGTTTTTTCTGTTATTGATTCATACTTCATACTTGCTGATGTGCAGTAATCAAAATAAATTTTCTTTTTTAAAACAGTACAATTGACATCAACAAATTTGTTTTTCAATATATATTGCACAATTTCTACGTTTCCACAATCAACTGCTTCATGTAATATTGTCATTTCTTCAGTTATTACGTAATATTGATCGCTTTTAAAAAATGTTTCTTTAAATTCTTTATAACATTTAGTCAATTTAATGTTTACATTTATTTTTGGCATGCTTAAAAGAAGTTTAACTATGTCATTGTTTCCTTTTCTAATGGAAATATACAAAATTGTCGATGTTTCTTCATCATACTTATATTTTCCATATTTCAAGATTTCTTCTTGGTTGTAATAAAAATATCGATTATCACATAAATCTACATCACCATTTTTTATTTCTATTAATTGCACAACATCTTCATTTTTCTCTTTTATAGGCTTGTAAATCGTGTATTGAAAATTGATATCAAATGTGTCTTTTATTATTTCATCATTTGCTAGATATTCAACAATCAAAAAATAGTCATATTTAGCAAGATAATACGGAACGTTCATTTGTTGATTGCAAATGCATGAATTAATTAAAGAATCAATGTCATGATCTGAAAAGAATTCAAAATTATAATGTTTAAGAGCTTTTCTATAGAGATAATAATCATAAATTGTTTCATCATCACAGAAGTTGGTTCTGAAATAATCAGATATTTCATTATGATGACATTTGATTGATTCAATGATGAGATACTGAAAAGAACCACAAAGAGTTTTAATTTTTCTATCATGAAGAAATTGAATTATTTCTGCATTTTGGCCATGAATTGCATATGGCCAAATTGATGGCTGTATATCAGCATTACGATTATATAAATATTGAAATATCTGAATTGAGCCATAAAATGCAGAATACTCAATCAGTGTTGGATTCTTATTAATTAAAAATAGATTGGTTTCATATATCGATGGAAGAATCACTGACTGAGGTGAAATATTTGTTGTTTCCAAATATGTAATAAAATCAACAACTGCGTCGTTTTGAATTAGCCTACAAAGATAATTATCGTTTTTTCCATTTTCTCTTTTTTTATTAAATTCATCATCTAATGTCGTATTTCTTAATTCTTTAATTTGATCTTGAAGTATAAAAGCCTCAAATTCCGGGTAAAAGTACTCAATATATTTTCGATCAATATATTTTTTATTACAAATGGCAGAATATATTTCTTTTGTTGGAATTATTATTCTTAATTTAAATAGAATTAGAAGAAGTAGTTTGTTTTTTTGGAAAATATTGAAAACTTCGAAATTTGTGAAAAAAAATTGAATTCTTTCTTTTAGGCTTGTCAAAATCAATTCATTTTGAGTGAAAAAACATTGTGAACAATGATAATAGCTAGAAATTGCAACCATAAGATACAAAAATGATTTCAATTCGTATTTGTTTTCTTGAATCTTTTGGCTTTGCAAATATTCATTAAATAATGTAAAATTTTCATTTGGATTCTCATGCTTTTCTAGAAATGAAACCAGCTTTTTTTCAATATCTTTCATCTTTTTGAAATACTCTTTAGGCATATAATCCATATCGGCACACTTAAAATATATTAAATTCTGCCCTTTTTGAACTTATTCAAGTTTACTTCTCAATTCAATTATAGTAAATTTTTTATCTAGACTTTTGTATACATTGAATTGAGTTTCATTTCCACTTTAAATGGTCAAAGACCTCTTTTTGATATCTGATCTTTTTGAAAGAAAATATGATGTCTTTTGATTTGATATTTGCCATTTGGAGTTAAAAAATGCTTTAATACTGGTCATTTCGAACTTAAGATGACCATCAATATAATGCTTCGACTTCCATTTTAAACTTTTGTATTTCTGAAATTAATATCAATTAATTTTCATATCACATTTCATATCTGATATTCTAGTAAAAAAATGACATTTAAAATTTAAATTCTCTAAATATCAAGCCTATATATAATTGTTGAAAGGAAATTCATTTCAATATAATAAAATATTTATATAGTAGAGCCGGTGTGGAAAGGAGAACACTTAACTTTTTTAAAAATAACATTTTATAAATTGAATTAAAAATAATCGTTTCAAATTTTTTTTTTCGCTTATTTCTTTTTTTCCAGCAACTAATGAATAATTTGATTTTTTAAGTAATAGCAAATTATCAACAAACTAACATGAATTAAAATAACCGATGAAATGAACGTTTATAAATTAATACAAAAAGATATCAGATTGGATGATCAAAAATAAAAGTCAATTAAAACAATCAATTTTATGATTTGCGTGTTTAAAACAGATTAATTTAACAATTTTCGGTATTTTTAGCCTAAATCGTTGGCGATGAGATAATTTGAATAAATATTTTTTTTTATAATCATTTTTTTTTTGATAATATTCACTTAAATATTAATTGTTTCTTTATCCAATTAACTAAAATTTAATCAAATAGTATTTACTTATTTAAACATACCACCACTTTCAAATTGACAATATTTTGCTTCCAGAAAACTAAAATTTGGAAATTGTTTTAATTTGTATGTTTTGTCTATCAAGCTATCAATAATCTTAAGATTTATAATGAATATGAGGTATTGTTTTGTGTTATGAAGAAAATTTTGATTATGAAAGAAGTGATGTGATTTAACAGCTCAATTCTTGAATTTGTATCAGATATAATATACATATTTTGAGATATTTTTGAATTGACTATTTATATGAATATAATATAAAATATAAATAATATTTATAAAGTATAATGATCTAAAAATGCTTATTCATGAAGAAATAAGCGAAAATAAATATTATAACGATTATTTTTAATTCAATTTAAAAAATTTTATTTTTAAAAAAGTTAAGTGTTCTCCTTTCCAAACCGACGTTCTCGTCCCAAACTGCCTCTAATATATTTGTTATTTCTATAGTATCTTCTTAAGTCCAAATTCCATTTTTTATTTGGCCTTTTAATAGAAATTTTTCACCAAATAAAAGTGACATTTGGACTTAACAAGATGCTATAGTTATTTCAATAAAATGTCGAAATTTTTGGATTTATTAATAGAAAATAATTTCATTTTTGATAGTTCTATTAAATGTTGTCATAAACAATAAAAAAACCTTTTCAATAAGACCCTTTGAAAAATTCAAGCAAATATTGATTGTATCACTTTTTTTTTCAATTTTTGTTCGTAAAAGCCGATTAAAAATAAAAATGTTCATTTCCATTTATAATTATTTATAAATGATAACGTTATTTTTTAAACATCATAATTAATAAATACAAATTGAATTTACATATAAAAAGGTTATCATTCAAAATTAACAATTCAATAGAAAATAAAAAAAAAAAAAAAAAAAAAAAAATATCTTATTTTTCACATTTCAAGAAAAGACAAAATGGCTGTTGAGGATATGTTTTCAGGATGCAAAAAAATTGTCGTACTGGTTGCGATGGCTGCTCTTCTAGCTGGCTTTATTGGGGATTTCATAACAACGATTACATGGTGGAGCCGGATTCAGCCTTGGTTTTCACATGGCGAAAAAACAGGGAAAACTGTTTACCAATGCATATTGGCCTGCTGGATTTTATCATTAATTGGAGCAATCTTAACTGCATTTTTCCTTCTTGCTACTTTATGCATAAAATCGGTCTGCGGGAGTATTACAGGAAACAAAGTCGTATTAGCAATTTGTTTCATTTTGGTAGGCGGTATCTCTATTGGTAGCATCGTTTCAGGTGGTTATGGTTCATCATTTGCTTTAAAGAATCCAGATATTACTAAAAATAAAGGCGAAGAAGATTTCAAATGCTCCAAATACATAATGGAAGGAGGTGCTGGAGCATTTGCATGGGCAGCAAAACAAGGTTTAAAGAAGCTAGATGAATATAGAAAATGGGCTCAAGATTTAATGAAAGATGTCTTAAATAAGGATGATGAATATACTGGATACCTATGCCGTGATGTTGGAGCACCAACTATGACTTTTGTTTTGGTTCAATGCTGTGCTCTTATTCTTTGGATAGTCATTATAATACTATCGTTGATTTGCTAAAATAAACTTTTATCTCCTTTAAATATATTTAAATATTTATCTCATTTTTACAGCTCCGAATTATTACTGTTGTGATGTTTTACAGAAAGAACAATTTGAAAATATTATTTGTAATTATACTCTAAATGTTCAATTTAAATTTATAAATAAATATGAATATATTATAAACAAAAAAAGTCTAATAAAAACATAATTTACTTTTTAAAAATACAAAAAAAAAAAAAAAAAATCAAATGATCTAAAAATGTAACCACTTCTTTGTCAATAAAG